GCTATCTTCAACGACAAGGGACAGTCGGTTTTTATACAGAAGCCCCTGAAAACATGGCTGCTTTCCAAAAATCCTCCCTAGAGAAGGTGATTGTTTACACTGCTGGGAAAAGTGAGACAAACAACATTCAGTGTCAATCCTGCACCCCCAGAGGAAGGAACAGTTAAAGATACAGGATCCTCACAAACAATCTTAAGTACCCTTCAGCATGGAGGAAGCTTAGAGACCGTATATCTGGCACACTGGGACACTGAATGGGATTTTGGTGTTTGATTGACAAGTATCCAGAAGCTGTCCATCATCAGTAACAAAAGGCAGGCCCCTTTGAGAGCTAGGTGACAGAATGGGAAAGCACCACCCTATTGGCAGAGCTGCCTTAGTGCTCGGGGCTTGGTTTTCCAGTACCTTCCAGATGACATCATTAGTGTAAATGTCCCTGATGTCATAAGCAGTTTGCTTACCAATCTTTCATGAATAGGTGACTCAGTTAATTAAGGTAAATGTCTCTCATTTTAGTGTGTGTGTGTGTGTGTGTGTGTGTGTAGCTTGAGATGTTTGTGTAATTGTTCTTGTTATTTTGGGAACAGCCTAATACCTTATGCATTTTAATCATGTGCATTGCTATGCATTTAAGGTACCCTCACACATGTCACAGAGGGGACAGTATATCAAGAGAAAAACCTCAAGATACATCTTTTAAAAAATGTGCACCTGATATGCTCTATTTTCTTTCTTGGCACGGAAGCGAAAGTCAACAGTACCAACTAGGCCATGAAATTCTACAAGTGTGGGGTTCAGTGACAGAGTAAAAAGGTTCAGCAAGAAGAGAGAGTACAAGTTACCAGCAGGGAAGCAGCCCCTCCTGCGGCAAGCAGATCATGAACTTATTAGCGAGGGTCTCCACACAGGCATCGAACTTGAAATCACATGCACAGAACACACCCCAGGTTAGAGCTTAGTTTGTTTAGACTCACAGCTCTCTCTTCTTCTCCATGCACGGTACGCAGAGGACCCTCAAAAAGCTAACTCATGCTTTGCCTTGCAGCTAGCTGGGAGGCTTTAGTACTTTTGCTAGTTTTGCCTGCTCTTCTCTGGCTGTGATAACCTACACCCCTGACTGTGCAGAGGTTTCCTAGGGAGCCAAGAAAGCAACTATGTTATTGAAACATCTCAATAAACTCCAACAGTTAGTTAATGCCCAGCACTGGTCTTAACTAATCCCTCCCAACTCAGAAGTCTGGCAGCTAACCCTCTGGCCCTGTGCATTTCTCTCTCCTGGGGTTAGGAGTTCCACTCTGGTCCCAAGCCCAGAGCCACAAGTCAGTCTGTGTCTAGACACCTATAGACCTATAGGATAGGGGGATAGTGTCAGTGGATGAAGTGGATGAAGTGGGAGAAACACACACAGATCGGTCCATGGATGATTCTTTATCTGAGTTCAGACATCTTTCTTGTCTTCCAAGAAGTGGGAGTGAGGACCCGGAGGAGACCCTTGTGAAGACATGCAACTTCACAGTAGAAAAAGTGGGTTTTGTCTCAGCAGTGGTAAACACTGGCTTCATCTTTTCCATGGTGTCCTTTCTTAGGACAGGCAGGATGGTCTCTGGCCAGAGCCACCATCAGTGACTTGGGGAAAGCTTATGAGGGTTAAAAGAAAGACCCCACTGAGGTTTCCTCAGGGAATGTGCTCTTCCCATCTTTAGCAAGATACCATGCTGATACTCTGCATACGCTTCTAAAATTACACTTCACTTCTGCTTGTCAAAAACAATCTTTCCTTCTTAACCCTCCCTCCCTCCCTCTCTCCCTCCCTCCCTCCCTCTCTCCCTCTCTCCCTCCCTCCTTCCTTCTTTCCTTTCTTCCTTCCTTGCTTATTTCTTTCGTTCCTCCCTTCCTCTTTGCCTTCCTGGAGGTTTGAATCTATGGGGTTGCAGAGGCCAGGGAAGTGCTGGACAGTCGAGATAGATCGCCAGTCCTTTCTCTTTTCATTTCATCTTGAGACAGGGTCTCACTAAGTTACCCAGGCTAGTCTGAAACTCAGTCTGTAGCCCAGGGAGGCCTTGAACTTATGATCCTCCCACGTAAGCCTCCCACAAAGCTTTGTAAGGCCTGATGCTTATTAACTCTTTAAATCATACCTTTACTATATGATTGAGAAAACCAACTCTTGTGCTAATTGTTGCTGGGTCACAGCCTTCTGCAGAGGACTCTCAGAGGCTTCCTTAATCATCCTCATTCCTACTACGAGACAATAAAAGACCAAGTCCAGGGGCTTCCTTCTTCTAAACATTAACAACTAAAACTAAAAGTAAAATCTTAATTAAGCACATAATTTCTTTAACGTGACTTGAAGCGTACCTTTTGCTGTATTAAAAAACAAACCTGATCCCCCAATAATCCTATCTTCATAAGGCCCAAGCCGGTAATGAATGGAAACTATTGTGACCTTGGGGGCCAAGTCCAGTTCCTCCAAGTCAACTCTAATTGCTGCAGAGAAGACAGTCAACAGAAAGTCTTATTTGGGCCTCCCTCTCTCTAACTAGCAAAGCTGCTCCTTACTTACTGATCACTTCCTGTAGAGAAGGGGATGGAGGAAGCAGCTTAGGATTGGTGGAAGGATCCAGAAGGAAAAGCTTTCTCACCAGAGCTCCCCTGGGGCGCAGCTGTCAGTCCTCATTGCTCCCTGACTGCACCCCGCACTCCCACAGGCCCTGATTCTGACACCTTCCTCAGCTGATGCTTCAGACACCAACTTGCCTGATACCACATCCACACCCAGCTACTTAGTTTTTGCTGTTGCTGCAGTATTTCCAAATACTTTTATAACTAGAACTTTCCTTGAGTGCCTTTTAGGATCTAGTAGCTTTCGAGAACGTTGTGTATAGCTTCCTGAATATCTTTCTGTCCGGGTCTGTCAGGTGCCTCCACGCTTGGTTCTTTAGGTGCTCAGCTTAGGGAGAGCCAGTCCTTGTCAAAGTGACATTTGGGATTTGGGTGTCTCTTCAGGCTGAGGGGTCAGGGCTAGTTCTACTCTCTGTAGCACCTGTCACATCTCTTGATTCCTTTGTTTTCATCATTGTGTGTTTCCAGTTTACATAATTAGAGTGTCACTCCAAGGGAAATCTCTCCCTCTCTCCATGATACTGGATAGCTACTAAGTGAAATGGCCAGTCTTTTCCCAATATGGGAACGTGCACTGTCAGTAATCCAGTGCCAATGAAGAGAGCTGACCAGAACTGAGGCTTAGCTCCCTCCCATGCCCACTGCAGGCAGCTCCCTGCAGGACACAGTGTAGCTACACCGTCCTGAGAGCCCCCACTAGGCCTTCCCACCAGCTGCCTTTGCTCCTCCTCATATACCAACTAAGAGATAAGCCAGGAACCATGCGTGCTCCATTCTCTTACTTCCTAAAAACAAAGAGGAAGGTTATTTTTGGCTCCTTCTCCTCGACCATATTTGGAACAATGTCCTCAGGAGGCAGGTGTCACTCCGCTGGTACCAGGGACTAAAAGTGAGGGGTTGCTATTAGCTTGTTACTCTGGGATCATCTGCAGATTTCCACCACGCTTGGTTCAGCAAACTTTATCTTTTCCACACAGTAATTACTACACACAGAGATTAATAAATAAACACAATTTCAAAAGACACGGAAGTCGCATGCTCTAGAACAGTAGTGTTAGCCTCCTGGAGTGACCTATATAAGTTAACAAAGGCACAGCTACACTAAGGTCAGTGTGGTTAGGGCTCAGACAGCATCATCTACTTCAGCCTCTAGGGGACAAAAAAAGGGGCCAGAACTAAATTATGAACTAGAACTAGGTGTTAACACTATGGAAACAGGTAATGAGGTATGAAGAGGCACTTACGTGGAGGAGGGCTATCTGCATTTCCCATGGATGGAACACAGACGGAAAGAAAAGCCAAGAGACAGACCCAAGGGGAAAAAAAATAAGATGTAAAAGAAATGAACAGAATCCACAGAGCACATGGAGCTGAAACTCAAATCATCAAATTACTTTAAACAGAAAGAAACAGTCCTTGCAGAAGGACCATGAAACGGCTCTATTGCTGGGAAGAGGTTATGGGGGTCTTTTTGTAGGCACCCAAGCTTCTCAGACAAAGAAGCAAAGGGTTCTCTTGTGTGGATTAAATCAGGGTCTGGGGAGAGCTTGGAGCTCCATGGTTACCCAGGAGGGCAGGTCTCCAGCATCCACAACAGCTGGAGGGACCTAGCAGTCTTGTGGGGCAGCAATGGTGGATGGCAGACGAACATGGCCAGGACAAGGCTCATCCAAAGCCTGGCTGCTGAGGGAAATGAAGGCTAAGCTGGGCAAGTATGGTTTAGGGTTGGAGGGAATGACAGAGAGAAGCTAGAGGCAGCCCTGAGTGGAATCTGGGGAAAGTAACTTGCCTGATAGAGTCCGAGAGGCAGAGATGTCTGAGGGGTCATCTTGGGAACGAAGAACCAGACAAGTGCAGGGCCCCTATTAGACAGTGGGTACCCGTACCTCCTCACAAAGAAGACTCTGTTTTTCTCTCTATGACTTAATACTGTCGCTGCATCAAAAGTGCGGGCTCTAATGACACAAGCAGTCACTGTCTCTGTCGTCTTCCTTCAAGTCACAAGGTATTTAGGGGCCACTGTGGCCTGGCTTAATAGGCAGCACTCCCAACTCCTTCCATTTGCCCTGTGTGTTTTCCCCTCCCCCCTCAGACTCTTCCCCAAAGTTAATCATTGGTGGCCTCTGGCTGCTATTCTAATAAACCGGGCCACGCATTAGGACAGTAAGCATCCTCCACACATTCTGAGAAGAGTGAGTGCAGATTAGCCATCCCTGAGAACTAGAGTGTTGAGTGGGCCACTAGGAGCATGGGGACCCGAAAGTCAAAAGGTAGCTTCTGAGCTATGATAGGAGCCAGCTCAGGGTCCCCATTTGTCCCTGAGGGAAAGAGGGAAGAGTGTGAACGTGGAGAGAGACAGAGCAGCTGGCTGTACTTACGGACTGGCTGTGTCTTGAACTCAGTGGCTGCACTGATCTCGCCCAGCCCCTTGCCGTTGAGGGCCGCCAGCCGTACCGAGTACTTTGTCTCAGGTTTCAGGCCCATGATGGTGACAATGCCTTCCATGTTGGCTGTGGTGAGAAAATAGGGCTGATTAAAAGAGAGTGTCCGTGCACAGGCAAGAAAATTCAGTGAAAGATGGTATGGCAGGTCTTCATCAAATTAAACACAACCATTGTTTGGCAACCATGTAGAAAAATTGAAAGCAGGAGATGAACGGATACCTGTCCACTCACGTTCACACCTGCACGGTGAAGTCCCAAGTATACACCAATGGTCCAAAGTCACAAGCAGCCTTGATGACTTTTACATAACAGATGACTGGATTAATGAAATGCAACAAGGAGCAATGGTGAGGTATTTACCCAGTCTTAGAGTTGAAATGTTGACACATGCTACGATATGGTAAACCTTGAGAACATTTTGTTAAATAAACAAGCTGATGCCAGAGAACACATAGCATATGATTCCGCTCTCATGAGGAACCTAGACTAATCAGCTAGGGGGCAACAGTGGAATGGTAGTTGCCAGGGGCCAGAGGAGGTGGATAAAGGAGGAATTAGAGTTTCTGTCGGAGGTGAAATGTTCTAAGCTGGTCAGTGGTAATGACTCAACACTACTGACTTGTATACTTAAAAAATGATTAAATGCAAAATTCATGTGAATTTTTTTTATCATAGTTAAAAGATAAGTAGAAGTGATCTTTTAAAACAGAAAGTACTGGGGAGGTATCTCAGTGGATGACGTGTCTGCTGTACAAGAGAAATACCTGATTTCAAATCCCCAGAAGGCATGTAAAAGCTGGGGTGGAGGCACTCTCCTGTAACCCAGCACACAGATAGACTATAGACCACTGAAGCTCCCTGGTCAGTCAGCATAGCTGAAGTCATGATTTTCATGGCCAGAAAATAAAGGTGGGGAATGATACAGGAAATCTTTATCCATCCATGGATATACTTGATGCTGACCCCAGAAAGGGGGCACAGAGAGAGACAGAGAGGGGGGAGGAACACACACACACACACACACACACACACACACACACACACACACACACGACACACATGGGTTTGTTGGAGGAAGGGAAGGAGGAAGGAAGAGAGGGAGATAGAAAGGAAGAGAGAGAAATGGGGATATTTAATCTTGGAAGACCTCACTAGATTGACTTAACTTGAAAGACAGAATAGGATTTGTGCATGGTAGATCTGTCTGTCATCTTGCTGGTTTTGTTACTGTTAGCAGTACATGACTATCCCTGGGGACCATTAGGGATGCCCAGGTGTCATCAGGGAGGAAACAGAGAGCAGAGTGGGGGATGTTCTGCACTCTTTCCAAATGAGCTCAGCACCTAATCAGGTCTTCTCTCTGGGGATCATCTGATATGTCCTTTCTGTCCCAGAGAGGTCACAAGAACTAGGTTCTGAAGCAGCAAAGGACAGAAGGTCAACAACTCTATGGAAGCGTGACCCTGACCCAATTCTAGCTGAAGAGTTCCTAACTCTGGAGGAAAGCTGGATGGGATGGCAGATGGTGGCATCCTACACGCTCCCTACCTACACAGTCAACAAGGATCTGATGAATTCTAGGGTGCCAACTAGACTCACCTTCTTTGGCATCATACCACTTGAAATGCCATGCTTCTTCACCCAGCGACTTCCACTCAGCCTTGTATTTGAGGATGGGCACGCCACCTGTGGCCTCTGGCTCATCAAATTGCACCTGTGCTGTGCTGGAGTATGGTTCCACTCGGTCAATGGATGGAGAAGATGGCGTGTCTGTGAGAATACATACGGACACCCAGGTCATATATGTGGACCAAGACCAGAACATGAGAATTTGAAGTATGTCTTTTACATTTCTCCTCCATTTCAGGAATCCTATCTAAATGTAAGAGTCTCTGACTTTGGAGACTTTCCTAGCTTACGTCACACTCTCCTCACCTTGTCCTATGGCTAGATTCTCTCACTATGAGTGACTAACAGCATCTGACTCTTTAGAGCCTGACTTTATCTTCAACCCCTTCATGGGTATCCTTGAAATGTGTAAGATGCACCAATGAGGGCAAGGATGGGGTGGAAGTTAACACTGGATGGCACTTACCTGCTTGAACAAGGATGAATTCCAAGGACTCCTGTCCAATACGGTTCACTGCTGTACAGTTGTAATTTCCAAAGTCATTTTCTGAATCAGGGGTTACCTGTAGAAAGATAAAACCCATGGATTACAAGTGAAACATGGGCGGCCACACTCATCTTTCTTTCTTAGATACAGTTAGCATAGAATAAATCAGGTGAGGAACACATTATCTATCTCAGTGAGAGGAGCTCAGTGGCTCATGGAAGAGACACATTCCACTCCCCAATCCCAGTCTAGCCACATGGTCAGGACCAGAAAAGCTGAGGATAGGGTCGGTGGGGGGGGAGGACCTGGAAGAAAGGCTCAGTTTGTTCTCCACCCTACGCTCCCCAGTTCTGGATGTGCCAGAGAAGCAGGAGAAATGACCACACAGCCCATTCCACCCTGCCTTTCCCAGCCCCTAACTCACCTCCAGGTAGCTAGCCAAAGGGGTGTTGTAGATCTTGATGTTGCTGTAGTTAGAGCTTGGTAGCAGTTGACCATCTCGGAACCAGGAGATGGTGGCACTTGGGTAGGCGAAGACCTCACAGGTAATGTTCACCTGGTTCCCTTCCCACGTGTATACAGCCACAGGGCCCTGGAGCTTGGGAGCATCTACAATGAAGGACAATGACCATCAGAACCGCTTTCTTGGGACACCCCAGAGTCTGTCTTCCGCCACTAGAAAGGTAAGCAGGACACAAAGCAGAGCTGGTGCCTGGAGCAGGGGAGCTCTGGGAAATTTTGGAATGCATGTTGGAATTCTCTCCTTGGGAGAACTCACAGAGTGGGGGGTCTGGTGGGCAGCTTGGGGATAAGGTTTGTGTGTGGGTACTTTGGGCCAAAGGTCTGAAACCGATGAGAGCCAACAGCCTCGGGGAATGCACTAGGTAGAACTTTCTACTGAAGCTGAAGCTTATGTCTCCTGCATCCTGACCCTTCACAGCTCCTCCCTCCTCCCACTCTTTCCCAAGTTATTCCTTACATTGAACTTCAAGGTACATGGATTGGGAGTCCTGGCCGATGGTGTTGCTGGCAGTGCAGATATATTCTCCAGCATCTGTGTACTGGATGCTCTTCAGGGTCAGGGAGGACACACGGGCATGGCTTCGTACCACCATGTGCCCATCCAGAGTCTGCCAGGAGGAAAGGGACAGCATCAGACACTGAGGTGAAGCAGAGGGCAGGGGCAACTTAGAGCAGTGTGGGTCTAGGAGACAAGGCCATTGCTTGTCTACAATCAGTCTCTAGTCCCCTCTCTATGTCACCCTCTAAATTCATGTCACCTACTTCATAATGGAGGAGTGTGTGGGAGCAGAGTAGAGACTTTAAAGCAGTTCAAACAGAATATGGGACTCAGCTGGTTGCGGGGATACTAAGGTTTCCCAAGACTAGTTTAAGGTGTGTTAAAATGGAAACTAAGCCCTGGCTGGCACAGATTCCATCAAGGCATTGCCTTCCACTGTCCTCTGTCCTTTCCTTCTGGTCTGACTACCACCCACAGTTCTATGGTGTGTGAATGGGTACTAGGAAATGCCAATGACCCGAATGTAAGAAATCCAAGAAGTGTCTTTCCTATGAATGCCTCTCTTCCCTAAATGCTTGATAGCAAGACAATTTTTATTCTTAATGTGGGAACAAATCAAAGCTCATGACCTGTTAAGCTAAAAGTAACAGAGCCTCCTCTTGAAGAACAGTGCAGAAAGAGTCACAGGCTCACCCAGGATCCTTTTCAGCAAAGCCTTCATCCATCCTTAGTCTTTGATACTATCATTAGTTTACTGAGTCTCTAACGTTACAAACACTGCTAAGAAATGAATCAGCACACAATCCCTAGGCCATGGATATTAGAATATTTGCAAGGATTCCTTCCTTCACATTCTAAGCAAAAGGGTTGCTAGCCATCGAAGGGTTTAGGTGGGTGTTCCTGGGACAGACTCCCCAGAAAGTTGGTAAACTGAAGAAGGGCCCTATTCTATGTAAGCTGGGACATTCAGTCCATTGAAAGATGCTCGGTAGAATAGGACAAGAGGATGTGCTGCGTCTGCCATGCTATTGGGTTTGCTCTTCAGAGATCTGAAGGGCACTTAACCTCAGTTTCTATCAGCTAGAAGCCCAGATGGCAGAACCACACTATCCTTTGCCAGCCAGTCCAGGAAGATCAAAAACCAAAACCCAAACCAAAACCAAACTGAAAAGGTGTCTCTGGCCTTGTATCTCAGCAGATATATGATACAGAGTTCATTTTCCCTCAGTAACCTGCACTATTTGAATCAGGTTCGTTTTACTTCTCTGAGTTGTATCTGGGACCTAAAATATGCTTCCAACAAGGGAAGGAAGGGACAAAAGAAAAATCATCTCTGCTTACAGCTGTGTGTAGCTCTTTTTCTCAAAGATGGATGCCCTGGACATAGAGGAGGCTTGTTGATCAAGAACCTGCATCCTAGGAAGTGATACATATTAATGAGAGGTAACAGGAGACTATCCCAGAAATCCCAGAGACATACAGTTTACTGGAGATGCTAGATCCCAGGACTCCTTTTCTTATAGGCTGATAGTGGTCCATCTTTGTGGCTATTTTTATATGTCAAACAAAATCTTCACCCATCAGTCTATATTAGGGACACACAAAGCGTGAAGTCATTCTTGCAGTTATCTCTAAAAATCTGGTCTGTTTGTTCATCATTCCTCTCTGCCTAAAGCACAACAGAACTGAAGGAAAAAGGGACTCCAGGTCCACAGAGGGTCTTTTCAACCTTGGAATGAACTGTGATTCTATGTGACTCAAACCAGGCTTTTCCCGAGACTGCCATATACACAATTCTCAGGAATCCAAGAGGACATGTCCATGTAGAAAGAAGGCAGAGAGAGGCACACAAGTAGTAATATTAGTACAAAACAAGATAGGAACAGCCTTTGCTCAGAAATATCTGAAGACAAGCTCAGAGAGGCTGCAGGACCTTTTTTTTTGGCTCATTTTAAAAACCTGTCTACTTGCCTACACTTCCCTGTTCGATTTCTGTCATTTAATGATGCCATCAGACAAGAAGACAGTTTCTGTATGAATTTCCAATTTTGTAGTAGCTCACTGCATGTTTGATGATAGGACCCTTTGCCAGATATCCAGTCATCTCTTGGAGGTTACACTGATAGACTCCTGTGTGATTGGCTTATCTCCTCCTGAAATAATTTCTTGTGGCATAGGGATATACCCATGAGACACTTCAACCAAAAGTCCTGTTGACCATGGAGGCTCCCTCAGAGGGAACAGCTGAGCTTAGACAGAAGGGGAATAAGAATATTACAGCAAGGAGATCCTTCTCTCTCTTTAAAAAAACTATGTGTGACTCTACTTATTCCTACCAAAACAGTTCTCTCTCTTAGTAAAAGTGCTAAGCCTTTCAGAGCATCCAGAAAGAAGCTGGCCATAACACAATCCCACTGTTGCACTCCTCTGGCCTCTGGCCTTCATCTCTGAATGAGTCAAATAGGAAAAAAAAAAAAAAGGAACTTCTGAGACCCCTGGGCAGCCTTCACTTGGAAGTCAATTATGTCCAAAGTGAAATATTCAAGATAAAAGACACTTCTGGAAAGTGGAGTGGGGGTATCTGCTCTCTTGGGAGTAAACCTATTACTTCCACTTATAATGATAATCCATTTAGCATCTCCTGAATGATCCCTGATAGATTTCAGCATCTCCCCAAGCCAAGTCTAGATCAGAATGACAGTGGGAGATGTACAAGGTCACGCAGCATAAGATCTGTAGCTGTTGAAGTTGGCTCCATTATTCACCCCTCTTCTCTCCTTCCTGAATGCCAATGTGACCATGAATTTTGGCCAATAAAACACTCAGCCGTGACAGCACTAAGTGATTTCAAGGCCATAGGAGGGAAGCATTTCAGTAGGGACATGTGCTTGACTACAGACCCCCTGTCATCAAGGAAGGCACATCACAGAGATGAACTTATGATGAACAAGATTTGACCATGGCAGACTGTTCAGGTGAGGAAATGAATGTCCCTGCCAGGGGACCAGTGGTAACTTTTAAATATTAAGCAGCATTCAATATTTATGTCTATGACTTAAAGACAGGAGTTATGTATTCTGAATGGTTACTATCCCAAAAGACTGAGAGGGTACACTCATTCAATCAAAATATAGAGTCTATTGGACTAGTGAATCCTCTTCTGTGATGGCCGTTTGGAGTATTAATGTTTGACCTGGAGAACTACAAAAGGGACTTTAAGAGAAAGTATTCACAGGTTAGATTTTTGAACCTCATCTAAAGGTGGTATGTGTGTGTGTACACATATGTCTATGTGGAAGTTAGAAATCAAACCCAAGTGCCATTCTTCAAGAGCCTTGTTTTTCAAGAAAGAGTCTCTCACAGAGATCCGGGGCTCCTTAATTAGGCGAGGCTAGCTGGCCAATGAGCCCCATAGATCCACCTGTTTATTTCTTCCCAGTGCTGAGATTCAAAGCCCACAACACATTGCTTGGCTTCTAACATGGGCACCGAGGCTCAATACCAGGTCCTTGTGCTTGTGTGGCAAGCCCTTTACTGACTAAGCTATACCTCCCTAGTTCCAGGGCAACTGCTTTTGAACGATACAATTGGTCACTCACAGTTCCAAAACCAGGTTAAGAAAATGGTGGGCATGATGATATGAAATAGGAAGGTTAATGCTTAGCTTTGGCCCAAGTCCCATGTCACCTAAACTGAAGCGAGTGGGCAGGGAAATTGCAAAGGCTAAATGCTACTGACTTTACAAAACATAAAACCATTTGTGCCAAATCACCCCAATCTTACAAATTTAATGCGCCATAAAGATAACGGATACATTGAACGATTTAGAGACACTGGTGAGGGATGACTTCGGTGTTGCTTTTGACAGGAAATGCAATGTGAAAGGCCAGTCATTATCAAGTAAGTGAGCAACAAGGTGAGCTGAGGTGGAAAGGGAAGGGCTGAGTGGGTTTTAGATCACTCACGCTATGACTTTATGGTCCAAAGCCACAGACACCAGATGAGAGTTTTAAAAAAAATTTCTTTCTTTCTTTTTTTTTTTTCTTCAAAATGTCTGGCTTGGGAATTGGGGCAATTTATGTCTATCAATATAATTACCTGGGTATGATTTTACCAGCACCAGCAAGAGAATAAGGTCTCGTTTTAGAAAATAATAAAGATTGGCTCCTCCACTCCCAACACAGCTTGCTTGCTCATTCTACAAAATAACACTATTGCTAGGTGATGTCTACTGCTATGGACCTAATCTTTAATCCACCTAAAGTGCTCACTAGGTTAGCAAGTCTGGTTATTAACTGTGATGGTGAGTTAAACTGAAATGCTTTCAGAGCTAGACACTGGCTAATGGTCAGGTAAGCTATACCTCTTGCTTCTCTGGTCGAGTCCACGATGCCTGGAGAGAACAAGATATAAAACACAACAAGAAGGCAGTAAAATGTCACATGTTGCTTTAGAGAACTCACTCTGCATTCCGTGCACATGCAGCTTCTTTTTAATTCAGAAAAAAAGATTTCAAGGCCCCCTTCCAAGGATAGGAGTGTCCCTCAATTTTAATTCAGAACTTAGCTGATGGTCAGCTCCCTCCCCACCTTACGCATGTTAAAATGCCTACTTCAAAGTTGAAGGCATCCTAAACCCTGTATATATGTGTATCAATACCAGAAGACATAGTCAACTCCTCCTATGCTGAGCAACTTAAACAGTCTTCATAATATTTGAGGGCACTCAGTTCTTATCAAATAATCTAGAGTTACTTAAAGAGTAGATTTTTTTCCCCTCTGAATGTTTTAGACAGATTATCACACATGTACTAAAGCCATTAAATGCTCACGCATTTGACAATTCAGCATGCATCTAATGAAAAATGATTATAAAAACAAAAATTGAGAGAGAACAGAACACGTGCAGAGAGATACAACAAGTGTTGTATGAAGTCTTTGAGACTATGGATCAGGAAGCTTTGAGAACGCTAAATGCTGCGTGATGATACTGGGGCCTTAGTGCTTAAAGTCAGAAGGTCCCAAACAGCATTTAGATGGAAGGATGAACCTTCTTTATCCAACATGCCACTCATGAAAGAGTGAGAAAACTCACGCTCATGAAGAGTTGGGGAACTTTCTGTTCAGGTGTGGTATAGATTTGATTTATCCTGTACATAATTTTCTACTCTGTTTTTTTTTCCCATTGGGTGGCATTCCTGACTGACTGTCCCTGGTGTTCAGATGACAAAGGACAGAAATGGTGCTAGAAACAGTGAATGCAGACGAGTTAGCAAATGGTAAGTCCATTAAATGCAAGGCACTTCGGTGAGACAGGGAGAGGGAAACACTGGGTCACATCACGTGGTGCTGAGATGAGGGAGGAAGTGAGAACAAAGACATGCACAGACCAAGGTCATGGTGGCCCAACATGTCAGCTAGAGTTGCCAGTTCTACAACACTTTAAAGCTCATTTGTCACATGCCAGGGCTGTGTCAATCAAGACTTCTGTATTTTTTTTGAAATGGGACTATATCATATATGGTTATTTATTTTCAAATTGGATTCTTCAGTGTGTCAGTTCCAAACTAACAGCATTCTGTGGCTTTTAAAATAAGCTTTTGCTAGGGACACACATTTCTAGTAGCCTGATTCTTCCCTCTGTGCCTGGTGGAATGCAGCAAATATCTGTCTTGACTATATTGGTGGTGTGGCCCAACCAAAGGCAATCTTACATCCAAATCTATATATGTCAGAAATAAATCAGGCTAAGATTATTATGCTGCAAATGTTGCTAGATTTTGGTTGTTTCAATACTTCTTTTTGCTGCTACATACACATATCTAGTAGTTTATATGTATATAAGTTAAAGCAAAACCCTTCTATCCTCATATTAAGCATTCTGTCTATGTATCTGCCCATAGGATAGACAGGTCAGGCTCTGATCATGCTATGCAAAACATTTCCTGATGTTTGAAAGTGGGCACTGGTCTTGTACCCAATTAGAAATTCTCCCAAATGAAAAGATAGGTTGGGTTTCAAAAGGATTCAGAATGTCAAAAGGTCTCTCTTACTTGTGGACACTCTGTCAGCCTGAGACTCAAGGCTCACGAGGTGCTTCTCACATGACCTATCTGTCTTTTCCGATCTTAGCTCCCCACCCTTCTTATTCTTTAATAGAGAAGGATCCATATTCTTTCTACAGAGGCATCTCAAAGGCCTAGAGATGTTCTAATAGCAAGTGATGGATGTCTTTTGTTCTGTCAGCGACTGAGTATGCAGATCATAATCCCTGGGTCTCACTCAATGTGTAAACACTCAAACGCTTGGTAATATTTCAAATAAATCTGTATAGAATGAAAAATGAAACGAGACAGATGTGTAACTTTCTAAAGTATCACAAACACCTCCACACACATGTGAAGACTAACCCATACTGCTATTTACTTTTCTCTTTCTTCTCAGGCTACCAATGATTGCTAAGAAATAGATAAACTTTCGGATATCTGATCTACCTCGCGGATCTCAATCATCCAAGCAAACACACTAGCTACGAAGAGTTGCTGACCTAAACCAACTCCACTTGCTGAAGCTTAACGGACTGATGAGACCTGATCCAGAGACATAATTAAGGGTATGGTGAAACTATGCTTATTTTGAATTCATTCCATCTTCCTTTTTATAAGGAAGAACAATTCTGATATCTATTAGTGGGTTGCTACTAAATCCTTGCTTCCCTCTTCCAATGAGAAGGGCAGCATATTGTCAATCAATGATGTGAAAGACAAATCTGCTTTAATCCACTTATGCTCCTTGCTGAGCCTCCAACAAAAGCTACCAGGATTACACAGGAGCACTGTTGCACCATGACATCGAGTCCATCACTTTCTGAGCCACGGACTCAGAAGGAATCTGAGTTCCCTGAACTCGGACCTTGTCCCAGTCAATAGTTTCATCAGTGACTCAGATATTTTGAATAAGGATTCACACAAGTCTGGAAGCAATGGTAACACAAATGTTAGGTGGCAGCTACATTGGGAAAGCTAAAAATTTCATGCTTAGAGCTAGGGTCACGACTGGCTGCTCTACCTCGTTACTTTAAACAAGTAGATATAACATGAGTGCAGTCATCTGAGAGGAAGTACTCCAACTTCCAGACTTGTGAGTAAAGTTTCCTTAACAGTCAATCCTAATTGAAAGATGGACTTATATAGTAGTTTTTCAGCCTGGGAGTGTTTTAGTAATGCTAACAATTTGACTACTGGTATTTGGGTTGGGTGAGGAATGTCAGCTAACTTGCAATGCATAGGACAGTCCCAGTGAAGGGAGAGTTCCAAATGGCCAAATGACTGTGACCAAGAAACAAAGTTGTAATAAATAACATACATATAAAAATCCTGCATAGTTGCTTAAGCAATCAATTTCATGAGACTACGACAGAAGATAAGTGGCCTACATGCAGCTCATGTATAGACCTACAAAGTCTAGGTGACCATTATATGATAGGTCGTCAAGGGCTAACAGTACTTTGACTACATACCTGGGTTAAGATGATAACCTCACTGGGATCTGTTCAGGTTAGCAGGGGATTTTATTTTGTGCTAGTGAAGTGACGCTCTTGATGTATAGGACAACTAGCAGGGTGGAGGATATGGAAATCATGACATATGAGAAATAGTGGAAAACTGTGTGTGTGTGTGTGTGTGTGTGTGTGAGTGTGTGTGTGTGTATATGTGTGTGTCTGTGTGTGTGTGCATGTGTGTGTGTCTGTGTGTGTGTGTACATGTGTGTGTGCATGTGTGTGTGCATGTGTGTGTGCATGTGTGTGTGCATGTGTGTGTGTGTCTGTGTGTGTGTATGTGTGTATGTGTGTGTATGTGTGTGTGTATGTGTGTGTATGTGTGTGTGTGCATGTGTGTGTGTATGTGTGTGCATGTGTGTGTGTGTCTGTGTGTGTGTGTGTCTGTGTGTGTGTCTGTGTGTGTGTGTGTGGTGTGTTAAAAGGAAGACAGAAGGGCAGCAGCTTCTGGTTCAGTGACTCAGATGCTAAGTGACAGAGGTGGAGGGTTCTGAGCAATGGAAAGAGAAAGAAAGCCCCTTGTGATAGTGTAGCCATTATGTGTCAGATAGAGGCTGAGTGACCTGACAGGGATTCTAGGAAGGGCGCTCGGTAGCCAGGTGGAATCACATAACCTAACACCGTCTCTTAGCCTGCAGTTCGATGGAACTTAGCTCTCAAGGGGCTTATTTATTTCACTCATTAGATAAACTGGTACTCTCGTGACCTGCCTGACAAAGCATCCTGGACTTTATAGCTTTCTTCCAGTCCTGTAATTCGATGGTGTAGGTGATCTCCATCATAATTATATATAATGCAACTTTAGGTGGGAAAGAATGTGAGCGGAAGTTGCCATTGTGAACATGATTTGGACTAGAATTCAACCTGCTCACAAACAGACCATGCTTTACCATTTTTAGCCATCTACAATATCAGATTGGCAGCTTCTTTGATGTCAATATTTAATTAGTGGAAGTGGCAAATTTTATCTCATACGATTTTATTTAAGCAAATACATTAATGTGGCAGCATCATGGACCTATTTGGGGGACTTGTTCTGACAGAGACTGATTTGTGCTCTGTAAATGCCACTTCAAGCAAACCAGGAACTAGTCTACAGTAAAAGAAGCTGTGGTCTGATCTGTGCTGGGATTGAATAGCCATCTCAGATCAAGACATGAGCGATAGAAAAAAAAAATGAGTTGTTAAACAAAAAATCAGTCTCAACTGGGCTGTAAATGGTCTTTTCTAATAGCTTCAGTCTCAATATTTAGGGAGAATGAGTGCTTATTAGTTCCTAGCTATTTATTCTCATTTTATAAAAATGAAATCGTAGATACAGGCCAGAAGCACCAGCTTATTAAAGCAAACCCCAAGTAGGCACAAATCTTCGTAATCCTTCATGTCTAGTTTAACTGTTGAGCTATTTCTAGAAATGACACAGAACTTAAAAACGTCGTTCATCTGAAATAGATGTTTTCGTCCTTCACTGTAGGTCAGGGATACACACTGGGTCACTTGGACAAATCTACTTTGAAATCTAATATAAAAAGACTGGTCAAGCAGTGGGTATGTGGATTAAGCCCTGAAATGTACATTGGATCCATGCGACACACGAAGGGAGCTGAAATCTTAGCTGGGAACTTAGTAAGTGTCGATAAAGGAATTATCAAAGTGAATATCCTATTTCTTAATTTAGCTGGCTTTTGCAGATCAAACAGCATATGCGAGTTTCAAAAATATTTAGCAGTTCCTCAGTTGAGTTTTTGATAAAATTGGATTCAACTCTGGGTATAAAACTTGGGGAAGAGGAATGGGAGGTTTGGAACGGTGGTTTTGGTGCCTTTAGATTTAGCTTTGTTTTCTGTTACCGAGGCAGAAGTCAATTCCTCAAATGCAAATTCCAGTTTTAGCCCTGCTACTTAATTCCATCCCCTTTGGCTTTATTTCAGTTTGTTTCCAGAGATTTCCTCTGGCTAGGCAGAAGCGTGCATATCTATCATGTTTGACGCTCTGGTTCGATAGGCAATCCATTATACAGACTTTTTCCGGCTAAGGCTATTACTCCTGAGTAGGTAACTGAGCTTCGGCCAACTAAAACAAAGCTTATTACTACAGGAGATGCAACATAATACTGAAGAGGTGCCACAAAAACCAATATTTTTTTCCTTTATGAAGTGCTTCAGATTGAATTTAGGGCTGTGTTTTCCACTGTGTTGCTTCTTCTAACAAGATCTACACTGCTCTCCATGGAAGCCCTTTCTTCTTGATTCTCAGCCTGCTCCATAGCAAATGGCTGCATGATATGGCATGGTCACCCCAATATTTATATATTGCCACTAATAAAGATGGCTTTCCAGTGGCTCCATGTACCTTAAATCTAAATGTTCTCAGCCATTTTAACTTGCCAGGGATTTACTACCATGTTCTTAAACTTTGGTGAATGCATTATAGAACCCAGGTATAAGAACCATCATCTAGAAACTGCTAATTATTTTTGCCTTTAGAACAAAATGGAGTCCAAATGTGACCAAGAATACAGGCAGACACAAAGGCAACCAAGCTTTTGTGCACAGAGTGCATACAGCATGAGTATATGAGACGCGAGGAAGAGAATTAATAGACTCATCCTGATCCCTGTTGTTTCTGGGATACTTTCCTGGGTGTACCTGAGCTGATGGAAACATCACCTGGTGCCCCAGAATCTTGCTTGTCCTGGTTCCTCACAGCTTCACAAGCCTGGGTCAGAAATTCACTATTGCCTCCTCCCAAGAACATCTAATTTGACCAGGCCCACTACCAACACACCCCTGTCTATCAATGCAGGGAACAGTGCCCATCCCAATGAAAGAGGGTGTTGCGTAGACCACAACCAGGCAGGCTGGAGGAGGGAAGCTTCAGGACCTGCAGTGGCTACGTGTGACCCCCCCATCCCATCTTCCCACATGTCAAAGGGAACTGGGCATGGGGTAGAGTTGAGGTACTTCAAGTCTGCATTCCATAGCCCTGAGACTCTTGGGCGATGTTGTACCTTTTCTTCACTGCTGATGTTTCGGGTGGACGTTCTCCAGGTGATGGAGGGGATGGGGTCTCCGGAGGCCTCACAGGTCAGAGTGACTTGTTCCTCTAGTTCCATGGCTGTCTGATTCTCTACATAGGTGATTTTAGGCTTTGCTGAAAAGAAAAAAAGATTATTTTGATGAGTTATCTGGCTATTTAGTTTTTCAGATTTATCTGATGACATGCACCCATTTAGAGAGTTTTCTTATTTGCTAAGTGTACGGCTCAATTCTATATATAGGAGGAGATACAGACCTGTACTCCCAAGGATTCTGGCAACACTGAAATGACAATCATAGACACATTCTCTGGAATATACAGACAGTAAAGGGCTTGAGTTCTGCTTCAGAATGGGGTAACCCTGCCTCAAGCCTTCACGTGGAGATGGCTTGGGGCTGGACCATAAGGTTTCCAGCAAATCTGGGTGGAATGAAGTCCTTCTAAGCCCAGAAAACTTCTCAAAGAAAAGCAAAAAAGTAAACGGAGAGAGATGGGGAAGTAGGAAGGTAGGGGGAAGGAGGGATGGTGGTGGTGGATAGATAGATAGATAGATAGATAGATAGATAGATAGATAGATAGAGAGATAGATGGAGAGGTGTTTCATGGGACAAGGGGACAAACTTCAGCATCTGGAAATGTACACACAAGCCACTGAAGCTCATGGGCAGAGTTTCATCAGAGCCATGGAGTGGTCACTGAACCCCAAGAAGGTTAGTCCAGGAGGAATTCTAGAGTGGATAAAACCTCAAGCAGAAGCCATTTTAGAGGCTTTGGTCACGTGCTGCAGGGTAGGCCGACAGCAGGGAGGAGAGAAGCTGAGCTCAGTTCATTTTCCAAATGTCTGGAGTAATGCAAGGAACACATGCATTCCAACGCTGAGTGAAATGTGAAAACATTAGGCGAAATTGAATTTTCCTAATTTAAAACAATTATACTCAGAAATTGCTGAACATTCCATAGAAGAGAACCAATAAGTCTGCACAAATAACTTATCTTACTGTACTAAAGAGAAAGGCGAGGCAAGAGAGACACAAAGCCAGGATGACAGGTGGCTTTTGAAATCACTACACTTCTTTTATATCTGAATTCATAGTCACTGCAAGTCAGCTAAGAAAATATGTCCTGAAGACATATGTCTTGACGTCTTCCATGTTGCTTCAACAAATAATAAGTATCAGTGACAAATGGCCTGCTTCCAGATAAAATCACCTGAATGGTACAAGTGGCTTCTTCAGGTTGCCACAGGACACTGAGAAAATTGTTTTCTCCTGGGTGGTACACAGACAAATGTTAATCCAGGATGGCAAGATGATGTGGGGATGATGGAGTCTGTCACCTCTGGATGAAACTTTCTGTAGGAAGACTTTATGTCTTATCCGGATAACAATATCTTGTAGAAGCCAACATTGTACACCGTATGGAATGAAGGTTTGTTAGTATCAAATATTTACTTTTAAAGGGTAAAATGAAGCAAAACCAATAAAGGTAAAAATATGAGTTGAATCTCCAGGCTCCGTACATCGTACTTTGAGACCAGTGTGGCCTCTACTTGCCTCTGACCTTCTCCTTCAGCCCTCTGGTGGTCTCTTGCCATCAGCCACAAGTGCTGCTTTAGTTACAGGGATCGGGTAAAGAACGACTTCTGGTCTGTTCTTTGCTACCCAAGGTGTAGATCTCTTTCCTCTTCAACATCACTAAGCTTTGCTACTGCTAAGCAAACCTTCTCAATCCACCTCAGGGATGGCCCATGGAACCAATTTATAAGGGACAGGGTAGAGAGTCAAGAAAATCTCCTAACCAGCAGGCCCCTTGTTACCAAGCTCTCTGACCCTCGTACTAGTTGTCTCAACTAATGGAAGAGAGACCAATAGGATGAGGAGGGAAAGGAGGATTAGAAGGTGGAAATGAGAGAGAAAGGAGAGAAGAAGGAGTACAAGAAGGCTGGATGAGTTCTCTTTGTGGCATTATGGAGGATCCTGATTCTGGGTCTGATGCAATTGCTATAGGTCCATGATTTCCTTGTTGACTTCGCTAAGAGCCCAGCCATCTTTTTTGCTTGTTCCACTGTACTGTCTAGAGAACAGTCTAGTAGTATTGGGGAAGAAATGGTGGTGTATGTGTGAGAGACAGATACATGGGGAGGGATGTATGAATGCAGTGATGCGTGGATGTAGGGATGCAGAGATGCAGGGATGTAGGGATGCAGAGATGTAGGGATATAGAGATGCAGGGATACAGGAATACAGGGATACATGGATGTAGGGATGCAGGGATGCAGAGATGCAGGGATACAGGAATACAGGGATGCATGGATGTAGGGATGCAGGGATATGGGGATGTATTTGTTCATTTAGGACAAAGACTAGGGAGACAAATCCTGTCTTGCCTGGTTCTTCATCCTATCCTATTTTCTCTTGTCCTTGCCACTTCCCCTGGACCTTATCCATCCTGATTCTTGTCCCATGGCCCCATCTGACCCCTCATTTGCTACCTGCTCTTCCTGCCTCAATCAATCATTGCCACCAAAGGGCCCTGGAGGAGAATCAAGAGCTCTTCTCTTTCAGCCATGCTAGACCTGGGATATTCCACAAAGCCGCTCCTTAGCTGCTGCATTATGAACCTATGAAGTCACACAATTGCAAGGCAGAGGTCACCAAGTTTGACAATTGTATAATGTTCCTGGACATATAAAGAAAGAAAACAAGAAATGAATTCAAACGTGTAAGGAATCTAAGTTGCTTCTGGCAGTGTTTGCCCATGATGTATCGAGTGAAGTCACTGCAGCCTTGGTTCTGAACGCTCAACATGTATATGCTGTCCTATCACACAATGCCAACAAACACTGGCTGCAAAGCCTCGGCTCAGATTCAAGACCATTGTAAGTTACGAATTGTAGTGTTTTTACTACACATGCAAAGTTTTCTGCTCTTACAGAAACATAATGGCTTAATTATATAAAACAACGACTTCAAATATTTTCCTACCACCACTCCTCAGCATGTAAGTATCAAATTAGTGTGTCTTTGGATAGTATTGTGTTAGAATGCTTGATTTTAAAAATTGCTATTTGAGTTGCTGACATGAGTTTCACAGAAAAAATTATTCAATGAGTTTTGGCTTGGGATTGGAGACAGAATTTCCAACAATTTCTGAAATGGTCCTAAACAAATTTCTGCCATTTTGTACTGTGTATTTATGCAAAGTAGTGTTCTCAGCCTTGATGATTATAAAACAAAAACATCAAGCAACTCCGAAGAACATTGAAGATATTCTGTGTCCAGTCATATCAGATAGTCAGCCAAGATTCAATTCTTTATTAAATAAACAAGTATGCCCATCTCGTTGGTATGCAAATGTCCTTTCGGTTTTCAATCAGTGGAAAATCATGTGTACCAAAGTCACAGTTTTAAAATAAGACTGTTTAAACATTTCTCAGGTAAAAAGGGCTTGCAAGTGGAAACCATGTAGAGAATCCATGAGCAGCATGGTGGTTGAGGGGCAGAGCGCTCTCCCTCCCATTCCCATCCATTCCCTAGGCCATGCAGATTCAGCACAGGTGCCAAACTGGCTGTATTTAGCCACCACTGCGATCCCGGTGTGTGGACCGAGAAGCCAACATCACAGGTCCTTCTAAGGAGCCCCTGAGCTCCCTGTGACATTTGTAGAACAGGAGAACTGAGCTACCTCAAAGGACTGTGATGAGGCTCAGAAAGCCTGATTTGTGGTTCTGTGGCATGGCACGGAATAAATGCTCCATCTGTGCTGGGCATTGTTATTATTATTGTATGAGGACAATGCTTCAAAACGTTTCTAGAGACAACTGAGGCTAACTGGATCCCAGGATCATCTCCCTAGGACCTGGGTCATGCTTCAGTCAAATGAATGACTGGCTATCCATTCAATTGTTCAACTGCTTCAACTGTCTTAGGTGCTAGAGGCATAGATGTAAGTCAGAGGCCTGTCCACAGCTGCTCAGATGCAGCACAGTGTGTTTTTCTCAACTCTGCCTAGGGGAAGTAATGCCCAAAGCGCTTGCCCTGCCGTTCTGTTTTTCAAGCTGTGCATCAGTTTGGTGACTAACTGATGCCACACAGGGTAGGAAATCTTTTCCTATAAAGCATCATCATGCTGTTGCTATGGAGTCATTATAGGGGGCTGTCATTTAAAAATGTCAGTATTGGACATCTACACATGCCTGCAAATGTACTGACAGGAATAGACGCCATGAAATTTTATTTTAAACTCGGCAATGACTGAATTCACAGTAAACACTCAAATGGAGAGTGCTGACAGACACTAATTATTCTCTTTTGTATGTTTATATGTTTATCTCTATCTTGGTTCTTCTCAGAGTCCAATTCTTATCTCTCCAGCCACTCTAACTAGCTGCAAATGTGCTCGGTATTTCTTATATGAAAGAACAAATTAACAGGTATATCTGCCCTTCTCTATAATCTAGAAAACAGAATGATGGGGGTAGGCTAGATTAATCTGAAGTTCAGAGAAAATAGCATCAAGAATGTTTTGTTTTATGGGCTTGGAAGACAGTTCATTTAGTAAGCTGTTTCCTTTGCAAACATGAGGATCTTAGTCTGAACCTCAGAACCACATAAAAAACCTGGGCATAGTCGGCCATACTTGTAATCCCAGCACCTTGGAGGTGAAGATAGGCAGATCCCTGGATCTTGCTGCTAGATAACCTAGCTGAATTAGCAAGCACCAACTTATGAGACCCTTGTCTTCCCTAAGACAAGGTTTGGTGCTTGAGGAACGACACACCTGAGGTTGACCTTTGGTTTCCATCCTCATGCACATCCATGTGCAGCTGCACACACATATACACACAAACATGTGTATACACACATATATATGCATGTTTTTTTATGGAGTTTCATGTTCTTTTTTTGTAGAGCCTATTTGTAAACCCAAATGTCACCAATGAACAAAAGAGACTCATCTGTGATTATCAGGGCTATTGGCATAAAGCACCCAATTTTTTCAAAGTGTGTTTACATACAGTTTTCCCCATCAGACTAAACAAGCAGGTCCCAACACTGCCTCCTAGGTTGAAGGACATGTACCAGAGAGGTTGCTCCACCCTCTGTCTAACCAGCATGGTCTACAATGCAGCAGTTTAACTGTGCTTCTTAGACAAATAAGCAGAGACTTCTCAGAGCCATTAGGGTTCACCTTTCTTTGCATCAAATCTCTTTTTGCACAAGGAGGCCCAAAATGCATTTCAACGGAAACACCTGGAAATTTGCAGAACTCACCAAGACAAAGGAGATGGAGACACAAAAGCTTTTCCTGTCATTTTCTATGATACTGGCACACAGGCCAGTAGAGGAGGAAAAAAAAAAAAAGATGAGACAACCAACTAGGCACTGATATTTACCAAGGCATCATGCGTCTGGAGCTGTTTAGAGGATAAAGCAATGTAAAAGACAGCCAGTATGCTCCCGGTACACTTTGAATGCTGATGGAGACGAGATAAACAATCCCTCAAACATGTCAAGAGGATTAGTTCAGGAACTTTTAGGTGTATGGAGAAGACAGCGAGTACTGAAGGTGGCCAGTAGGCTTGGAGCTGGGATGGGGGAGGCAATGTCAGACTGGTGAGGGAAGGGTTCATGGGAAGACATGCTTGAGCTAAAGTCTGCATAGTGACAAGAAGAAGCCTGCTCAGAGTGGGTCTATCGTAGGGAAGAATACTTTAAGCAGAAGTGACCCAAAGGGGATTAGTTCATTCTGAAGCAGAGACAGACAGGAGGCTGGTGTGGTTGGAGAGCCTTCTCTGTAGAGCAGAGAGAGGGAAAGCTGGGGCAGGAGCTAGGGTACCAGCACTGGGCCATGGGCTTAGTCTGCTGCTTACCTTAGTTGCAAGGGATCTCGAAGAGAGGAATGGCATTGAGGCACTCTGGCTACCACAAGTAGATAAGGCCTGTGGTAGCCAAGCTGAGGAGCAAGGAGACCAGCTAGGAGATTGTATGTTACTTGAAGAGGGCTAACTGGTTTCCTGGACTGGGGTTTAGGTATCAGAGCAGGTAGCTAATGGTTGTTTCATGGATGCATGCCATGGTAGTGTGGGTGTGCCTTTTTGATGGATTTCATGTGCCGAGTTGGAGGACTTGTGGCTGAACAGTGGCCCTGGCATGCGCTAGCCTGTACCTACCAAAGACCTTGAGGTGGATGGAGGCATCCTGCTCGCCAGCCTTGTTCTCAGCGATACAGACATATTCGGCCTCGTCGTTTTTGTCCACATTCGTGATGGTCAGCTCAGAGCTGTCATCACTGAAGATGTGCTTCTCGTCATCTTCCTCCTCATTCTCTATGGGTTCCCCATCCCTACACAGTGCAGAAATGCAAAGGGTGAGATTCTGAGTGTGGGGTGAAGAGGTCCCTTTCTGACCATTTCCTACTGTGTGAAGGGGACAGGCTCAGTCTGCATAAAAGTGAAAGACTGCTGAGTAGCACCTCTTGTTATATGCTTTTTACGCCTCTCCCCAATCTTTTGAGTATGTGCAAAGGCTATTGACAGAACTCAGAAAGGTTTCATAGAACAGGCACCAAAAGCTACACCCGCATCTGCTCCCACAAGTCTGAAAATTAAAGAATAATCAAGACACTGAGGAAGAGTCCTTCTTAGAAAGAGCCATTCTTCACCCTGGTACTTTAGGAAGGCTACACTCATGCCTCTGAAAACCCCACAGGCAGTGGAGCTATGGATTGCCTTCTTCTCTCACCCATAATGCAAGGCACATGCTAGTTTCTTACTTTGTCCAGCTCATGGTGGGCTCTGGGAAGCCATCAGCATCACACACCAAGGTGACAGACTGGCCCAGGTTGGCAGTGGCATTCACGATACTCTGTCTGGCCTGGACAGTGGGTGGTACTGAAGGAGACAAGGATGTCAGGGTGGTTGTACAAATCTTAAAAGAACCCAATGGCCCCCAAAAAAGGCATTTGGGGGTGTGCAGTGGCAGTGTCACCACCTGAGTGTTAACAGCTCTAGATGTCTACAGTGTTAGTGGAAGGCATCTAAACTTACATGGTATTCTAAATAATTAATGTAAACTGAACAAAAATTTCCCCACAAACATGCATTATTGTTTTTAAGAGTTCAGCCCCTATATTGCATCTTAACTCCTGTTCATGTGGTATTTGATTTACAGTGGTAATTTGTTGGGATGTATTTTCTCAATCAATATATATTACAATATATACATAATATATTCAACTAGGAAGGTTGGTGGGACTTGATGTTAAAAGGAGGCTCCGCTTTCCATACTGGCCAACAGTAGAAAGTACAGTTCCTGTTGGTTGCCAGGTTGATATGCTTCCAAAAGATACCAGCTCAGTGGGGTGACATTCTGTGCAACTGTCATAAACAACTTTGTGCACAAGGTGCTTCCACCAAAGGAATGAGAGGGAGAAAGCTTGGCAAGAAAACACGTATCAATAACCCAAACAATTCAAATGTGATTTATTTATTTTCTTAGCACTGACATTATAATTTCCTGTAAGCATCTTGCAAATGTCAGATCGATGCTACGGGTGTGTTTATTTGACACTGCAAATTAAGATTAATAAGCCCACGGACCACGATGTTGACTATTCTGAGACCTGAATTGATTGCAGTATTTTTTCTGCCTATCAAACCAAGGGGACTAACTTCCTAATGACGGTAACATCAAGGACACTTGAGATGAAGGAGGGTTTATTAGCAGAATGGGGAGTCTTTAGTTCTGCTAGACAAAGGAGGGCATTTGATCTGTACAACTGGGGTGGGGGAGACACCAAAGACAAGTGAGTAAAGGAGAAATTGTCCCCTTCTCAGAGCTTGTGATAGTGGGGAAGAGGTTCCCTTGAGATGCAGGAATGACATAGAACAGATCTACACCCAAAGGAAATGGAAAAGAAGGTCCCCATCAAACCCTGGTTGTAGTAATGGAGAGAACAGGACGGATGGATCTTCTCACCATTCACAATGACCTGAATGTCCTTGAAGTTGATCTCCCCCCGGGCCAGGATCCTGCCCTCACAGCGGTAAGTGCCCTCATCTGTTTTCTTGATGCCCCGGATCTGCAGGTAGTTGTTGGATAGGACTATGAACCGGACTGGAAGAGACAAGAGGCAGGTTCATCCAAGGTCAGTCCGTGAACTCCGCAAACAAGTAAAGAGTTGTGTCTCCTGTTACTGCCTTTTACTCCATTTGTGTTATTTTTGAGACAGACTTTCACAATGTAGTCCACCTGGCCTGGAACTCACTATGAAGCCTAGGTTAGCCCCAAACAAGCAACCATTCCCCTGTATCAGGTCTGCATGCTGAAATTACAGACATGTGACACAACCTGGCTATCTCATCCTTTTTCCTGCCTCTGGTGTTATGGTGTTGGGATTTAGGCTGAAATGAGCAAAGATATCACTGGCCCTGAAACACAGATGAGTCAGTCTAGGGATGGTGTGTCTGTCTTTTGCTTTGGAGAAATAAGCAAGTGCTTGAACACACCAGTTAAAGATACACATCTGTTTAGGATCCTGAAATTGCACGTGAGTTCTAGGGCCTTGGATCTGCGTTTAGACAGAATGCCACAGGGCCTGTGTAGGGTTGGGAACCTAGGGTGCCTGAGGGCTCATGGGAACTTAGGTCTTACCATCTTTTTTCAGGATGACATCTCGGCCTTTGTGTTTCCAGATGATGGTTGGGGGCAGAGAGCTGACCACATCACAGACAATCACAGCATCTTCCCCTTCCTTAAACTCCTGCGGAGTTGGTGCATTCTTGAACATGAGCTTCTCTGAAAGACAGCAGGAGGAGGAGAGTGAGGAACAATACCTTCTCAATAGAACTCTGATGCCTGGATTTCAGCTCCAGCACAGTTTCCACATATAATTCAGAAGTGTATAAGGGCCTCCCACTTAGCACTGGGTCATTGACTAAGGCATAACAGTTAGCACTGAGAGGGGTCTATGGAGGAGAACGGGCTCCTTGATGCAGTGAGGATGCACACAGGTACAGTGATGAGCACTGCATTTTTCCTACCATGACAGTAGGAGACATTGATTATTTTTGGTCTCCCACTTTGACTTCACCCCAACTTCCTTGTAACAGAGAAAATTCCGTAGAATGAGAGCCAACTTTGTGTCAGTTAATGCTATAACAATCAGAACTTACCATGTCTTGAGCCAACACTATACACAGAAAGAAGGCAGTGAGGTGTCACTGCCAGACCAGCCTTCCATGGCCGTGGGAGTCACCTTCCCAGAGCAGCATCAAGTGCTCACATATAATACCCCATCTCACTAGAGCGTTGGGCTGTATCACTAGCAAGTGTAGTGGGACAAGAAACAAAAACCTGAACCATGTGTCTGTCATTGTCACTTAGAAGGCACAGAGGAACCAATGCTAGCCCCCTGGTAACTGTGTATTTTCTAGAGAATGGCAGTCATTGGGAATGTAGTGACAGCTGGTGGGAACCAGCCTTACTGGTTCTGAGCTGATCGCTGACCATTTGAGAATCTACCAGATCCCTTAGCAGCTCTGACAGAAAAGGAACCACTAGGCTGGTCCTCCTGTTGCCTTATCTCTGCCTTTACTACCCATCCATGTATCTTCCTAACAAAGGTGGGAGCGGAGGGTACACATGAGGGCTCTTACGGAAGATCTTCACGTTGACAGTGGCCTCAGATTGGGTGCCATCCTCAGCGGTGACCACACACTTGTAAATGCCAGCATCATCGATGTTGGCATTGTAGATGGTGAGGGTAGAGGAGTCGTCATCATTCCACACCACTGAGATCCGCTGCTGGTTTGGGCTCAGCTTCTCCCCGTTGGGGGAGAACCAGGAGATGTCCTTATCTTTGGCATCTCCTGCCACTAAGGAGAAAGAGACTATTTTCAGAGTACAGAAAATGAGACGATTAAGCCCTTCCAGAGTGTCCATGGCTACAAAGCCTGGAAGGCTGGAAAGGGATCTCTATCACGAAGCATTTTGCAGCTCAGTTTAATTATATACATAACATCTCTTAGAGTTGGATGAACTCATCCACTGCCTATGCATATAGTATTATTTTAGTTGTCATGTCCTCGGAGAGGGAAACAATATTTGCTGTGAACCCACTGTGCCTCATACACTAAGCTGCTAGGAATGAACGTGTATTGTAGAATGGGAAATAAAGGAGGTTGGTTTATCTGAGCTCTAAGAACCAGGACCTAGCTGGCCTAAACCAACTGATTAGGATGAAAAGGACAGAGACTGTTCAACTGAGTTGAAATGAACAGAAACTGGGTAACCCAAGAGTTAAGATTCTAGCCATGTTGACTGTAGCAACTCTGTTCAAACTGCTGTGAATGATTGATATTCTGATGCTTGTTGCCTCAGTCAACCCCTTACATGCTCTGAGAAGACAGAACATCAGCAATGTCTGCTCTCTCTGGGGACTTGAGAGTGGCACTCAGCTAGCTGCCTAGAGGTCAGGCTGGGTCAGGGTGGACGGCTCTCTAAACTACTACTCCTTCTTTGATTTGCTGCCTGAATTGGGGCACTAGCCTGCACTGCCTAGCCCTGTGCAGATGTGTGGTATGGAAACATAGTATTCCTTTAGGGGCCCATCATGTTTTCAATAAATATCACAATTTGCAAGCTGTGCTGTGGGTACTAAGGCTGTATCTTCAGATCACTGAAACTGCTATAATGATGGCAGAGCTGGAGCAAATGCACCCAGCAGCCATAGTCCCCTGGTCAGAAGCAAATCATGGTGGCAGTTAACGCTCCTTCCCATCAAAAGTTGTGTGTTAAATGCCACAGCCTACACCTAGCTCAGTTCATTCCTGCTTCTGTTCTATTTCAAATCCCAGGCACGCCATCTGCCAACACCTTGAAACTCATTTCCCCATCCCTTCCCCCATAGGATAGTTCCCCATTATTATTTGAGGTATATTTCCCAATTAGATATTAAGAACACCCCACTCTGTGCCCATGTGTGGCTGTGATGGGGCAGAGAGCATTTGGTATTTGGCACAGTCCTGGAAAGCCAAGATAGGTGTCTCCACAGCAAGCGCTACCATATTCAACACACTTTCAAACCTTGGATCTTCCAGGTCTGAGTTATTCTAAGTTATCTATGGGGGTTTTCTCTCTACACTCATGCTGCATCCTGACGCTGTCCCTAAAGACAAGATACTAGACCTGAGATAATGCCCTCCCTGGGGTGTGTGCTGGTTTTTCTACAAACCCCTTTGAGTTGCTCCAATGTCAACCAGAAGCATAGACAGCATGTCACTATGAAGGGAAGGTCTCTGAGAATGGTCTGGATTGTTTACATTGCTGACCAAGAGGAGAGCAGTGGCCAGAATTCTAGGCTTGGTACTCTCAGCTTGCACTCTGAGAAACAGGTTTTAGAGGCAAGCTTAGGTTTTAGAGGGATGAGATGGGACCCAGAACACTTGCCTTGGCACAGGAAGAATTTGGACTCCCCAACGCTGATTTCTCCTTGGCTGGGAACAATATCTACCTGCAGGGAAACTGAAAAAGAAAGAAAAAGGCCAGTTCAAACATACCATTAAAATTTTGAGATAGAACCCTAGAGCTTTCATCCAAAAATGAGATTTTTCCAAGCTCAGTTTTTAAAAAGATGAGGTTTATTTGGCTTCTGAAAATCTACCATTATCAAAGTAACTTCATACCATAGCCAGAAGGAGATTCAGATTAGACCACTCCTACATGGAACTGTTATCTGCTGTCAGAGTGGAAGGGCCCCCTGGGTCGCCCACTAAATAACTATAGTTTGTATTCACAAAGAAAGAGCCAGCTAGCTAGTTCCTTTTGGGTGTCAGCTTGAAGTGTCTCTAGGGCTATTAAGATCAGGGAGCCTGTCATCCCAGAACTGTGTACTGGGATAGCTTGCACATTCTCTGTGCTGCCATGCTTGACTACTGTGAATCAGATCCGTTGTAAAGCAGCAGTGCCAATGAGAGCTAGCCTCACCCCGCCATATATAACCATCACCCATCTCCAGGGCTAAAAACAACATCAATACACCAATCAGTCTGCTGTGCTTCTGAAATCCCACAGCCTGTGCTTTGTGGAATTCTTTGCATCCCTTGGCTACTTTCCCTGAATTTTTATTTGAATATCCATACGCTCAGTCTTCCCAGGGTACTGATAAGAAAAAAATTACACAACACCAGATCTCACCGATTGCCTGTTTCACTCTGCTTTCCGTTTATCTCCTTAGAGCAGATAACAACTGTTCATGAAAATACAGTTTTAGGATAGGGAAACAGAATGCTTTATTCATTAGAAATCAACTTCCTTCTGCCTCTGCTCTCTTTAAGAAAATCTGAAAGGCAAAGGCTAGCACACAGTAGGTTCAGTGGAGGGAGCTCCTCAGAGCCATTGTGAAGCAAGCCCCCTCCTACATCCTACACCCCACAGAAAACAACCAGGCTGGGTCATAGAGACTAGGAGCTCTTCCTTCCAACAGCCATTTTCTGTTCACAGTAGAAGAGGGAAAGCTTGTTGCCATGGTGACCAGCTTGCAGGCAGGGCTGGAGCAGCAGCTCTGAGTATGGGCTCATGAGACAAGAGACCACAGTTGTGCTCAGCAGAATACAAGGATCAAAGGGCCTGCCTGGGGCTGGAAAGGGAGTACACAGTGGGGGGAGTAGGCAGAGGATTGGGGGTACAGCGTTCTTAATCATCCCACTGACAGACAAAGCAAGGCCTGAGAAATGCAGGAGAGGCTATACAGGGAATGGAGTGAAACGGAGCCAATGTGGAGAAAAAAATAGAAGAAAGGGGTAAGGGATGGGGTTCAGGATCAAGGAGGGAAGGAGGCTGAGCCTTTCTCCACGGGTAAGAGACTGAGCTTGAACATATTCCAATACTGAACTGGATGGTACAATAATCCAGGGGTGCAATCATCTCTCCTTTGTGATTGCCAATCAGTCAGGGAGTTGGGCTTCGTTTTTATCCAAGAACACGTCTTCCCCACTCTCATCCTTTCTGTCCATAGCTCTTGGTACGTAAAGCTGTGCTGGGGCATGATGCTGGCAGGGGCTGAGTCCACAGGTCCAGATGCAACTGGTGGGGTTGCTTTTCCCATCAGACCTCTCTAGCTGGAGTGAGGTGATGCTAAGTTCCACAGTGTCACATTTGGAAAGGCTCTCAGATGTCACTGTGTTCTGATTCTTCACTGCCGACGGAGAGGAGCAGTGAGTGATTTCCTCACTGTCACTGCTAGTTACAGGTCAGTGCTGAGGACCAAAGGCCTCCTGGCTCTCGGGTAAGGTCTCATTCACTTTGCAGTGCAATCTTTGTGAAGAGGGGAGATGTTCTCATCGAATGAAAGAAACCGTCTGCACATGCTGAGTAACACCCCATAGCACTGCCGCTTCTTGAGGAGTATAGAAAACCCAGGATTAGGCCCCTCTGCCGTCCTGAGAGCTTGGGGCCTAACCCAGACGAAGGCTCTAGGCCAGTGCTGTGAATTTGAAGGCCAACCAGAACCTCTTCAGTTGCTTTTAGTGGCTCATACTTCATGGGATGGCTAATAACTCAAAGTCCGGAAACTTCCTCCACCATGACTCACCTGAGCAATATTCCTCTGTGGAGTGTCCAGGACATTCTCTAAAAGCAGAGACATCCTTCTGCCTGCAAAGTTCACTGCCCATATGCTGAGCATTAACTGTCGGCTTCAACATATGGATCTTGTTACTTCAATACCCTCACTGCTGGAGAATAGCCTTATTCTAAGTGAAAAAACAGCCTTCACTTTTTCTTTTCTTTTCTTTCTTTCTTTTTTTTAAAAGCTCCTTTCTAAAAAGAACATGACTCTCAAGGGGGAGTCAAGCTGAAGAGCTTTCATTTCCAAATACTGCCAGGATCTATCTATGGACAACGGAGAGAAAAAGAAACACGAATTTCAAAGGAATTCCCAGCTTAACGGGATCCCTCACACATTTATCATCAGTTCTAAATAAAGAAATCTTCCATGGAGACTGCTGGCCCTTTGCACACAAGGAAAAGAGACTGATCTCTCTCTCTCAAAGCACCAGACAGGGCTGGGACAGAGGAGCCTAGACACTCTGCAAAGAATGCTTGGATGTTTTAGACTATAGCCAGTGCAGATTTCCCCCCTGCACATGCCAAACTTTGAAATATTAGGTCTAATATTGAGAAGGGGAACCCCATGGTAAACTCCAGACTCCTTGTCCCCACCCCCAGCTTGCCTTCCCTCCACCCATATTTTTTTCCCCTTTCACTGTTTTGCAATAAAATCTCCTGAATTGTGTCTCACCTTCCTCTCGTGTGTGCAAGATAATTTCCTAGTCAGGCACAATGCATACCTTTAAAGACACTTTTGCAAGCATTGCTCTCAAATCACATGACTCATGCCCTGCTTTGCTTCAGCCTTTCTTGCATAAACACTGTCATCTAAGTTGCATATGAAGATGTGTTCTCCCAAATCCAGATGTTTGGACCTGGGTGGGCTTTGCTGGTTGGGATAACACTGTCCAGTAATTTCCATGTTATGCTCTCCTTATACATCCACCAAGCCTACCTGCAGTCAACCTACACTATTGGGTTTACAAAAGCCAGTTTGTTACTACACCAATCTACTAATAGTTCAGAGAGAATAAAAAAATAAAATAAAAGACCAAGGAGGGGGCTGTATCACGTGCAGAAGAGGAAACTGAGATGCAGGAAATGAAATACGTCACCATCGACAGTTTGTGATTCGTGTGTGTGTGTGTGTGTGTGCATGTGTGTGTGTGTATGTGAGAGAGAGAAAGTGCATACATGTGCATGTTGTGTAGGCCAGAGGTCAGTCTCATGTGTCATTACTCAGAAGCCAACCCTTTGATTCTTGAGATAGCAGCTCATCCAATTCTGCTAGCCTGTTTGTCTGGCAAGCCCCAAGGATCCCCCTTCTCCACGTCCCCAGCAGTATTACAAGTGCACACCAACACACCAGGCTTTTGCATATGGATCCTTGCAGAGCAAGCACTAGCTCCCCAGGTTCCTAGAGCCTTTCTGAAACTTCCAAATAGGTTTATCGTAACCCGTTAGTTCTCATTAGTTGCTCTTTCTCTCTCCAAATCATAAGTTGTACAAAAATATTTCAATTACATTGCTGTTACATTTCCCTGTCGTTAATGATCACTGTCCTCTTCACTCATGGATGATAATACCATGACCCCCGTTTGACAGATGAGGAGGCAGAAGCTCAAGGCCTTAACTAATGGTCAAGATTCACACTCAGGGTGAACAAAGTCCAAAGCCCCAGCTGTTTCTCTCATACTATGTTAATCCCCATGAACCAATATTTTTTTTAAAGTCCCATCCTTCCATAAACAGAATGGCCCACCTCTCCCTGTCTCATGTAAATAAGCACAAAGGAGAGCACTTGGTTCTAAAACATTTGTCTTTTTTTTTTAGGTGATGAATATTCTGGAAGCAATGCTCCCTCTTCTAGGTGTAGAAGATATTTTATAACTCCCAGATTACTAGCAAAAGTAGGCTATAAAGTCATCGTTACTGAAGAGAAGTGAATGAAAATTTCAGTTCATAAGAGACGCTAAGGTACTTATCTGGAGAGGTGGAGATCTTGTTAGGTAAAGCAACAGGGAGGAATCATTCATTCTGATTTCCAAATTAGTTCATAGACTTCGCTTAAGTCAGCATCTTCCCGCAGCAGTTAAATTTTCCTAGTTTTCTTTTCAATGTGTTTGTCAGGGTAGGAGCTTCCCGTAGACAGTGAACTCAGGGGTCTCTGAAGCCACTTGGAAGTACTGCCATATTGGAAGGCTATTAAGAAGGTTGTTGGCCACGGAAAAGGGGGAATCATATCTGTTTATGGGCTCAGGGTCAGAGTGGGCACTGCTGCTGAAGACATCGGATGACTAATCAATTTAAGACGGAGAGACTATGGAGGATTTCTCTGCTTAGAGGCTTCACATGAGATGGAAGAATTTTCTAGAACCTATTTAACAATGGCTAAGGACTTTTGAAAAAGGTGTTGAATTGTAGCTTTTATGGTTATTTTTTACCTGTTGTTTTAGAAATAAGCCTTAAGTGTTGCTATGTGTAATCACCTCGGTGGAGAGATGTGGTTCTGTTTTTCTAAATATAACCGGGGGCTTTCTCATGTGACCACAGTTGCTGTAATTCCAGTCTCAGACAATCAAGAGTGTCGGAACTGAGGCGTCTCTATTGATAGCGGCAATTTACTCTCAGCACTAAACATGAAACTCAAAGAAAGTAAGGAGGAACTGATGTGCCAGTCATGCTGGGTGCTCAAGGCCCAGCCTCATATCTTCTGGATCGTGAATCTCAGTTTGACCTCTTGTTAGCTGTATGACCACAGGCAAGTTACCTAACCCCTCCATGTCCCCTAGGCAAAACAGAGAAACTAAAATGACCCACAGCTTTGGAAAGATTGTGGTAATAGACATATGGAAATGACACAATAAGCTCCCAATACTTGTACATTCAGTGCATATGCTAGGAACCACCTTTCC